TTCCTTGTCCAGTAGAAAGCAAAATTCTATAGCTTTGTTTACTGCAGAAGCTAAATATATAGATGTAGGAAGTTATGTTGCCCAAGTCCCTTGGTTGAAGTTACAACTTCTTGATTTTAGACTACCAGTAGAAACCATCTATCATGTGTGATAAAACGAGTGTGATATGCACTCTAAATATCATATTCAACACTCTTGTATTGAACATATCAACATTAGATATCACTTCATTTGAGATCACGTAGTCAAGGGAGATGTGAAAATAAATTAGCAGACAAATTTAACAAACCCCTAAATTATGATATGCTCAGCACATGTAGGACTATACTTGATATTATTGATATAAGTGCTTAAGACTTTAAGGTCAGTGGATGCTAAAATTTTTGTTTGTGTTTGATGTTTATATTTTTGTTATGCTTTTTTTGCACGTTTTCTTTGTATTATTGTTGATATTTTTTTATAAATTGTGTCAAAAAATTTTGTGTGTGCCTATACTTATAGAATTATCCATGATCATCACACGCACCACTAAAATTTACTGCACATTGCACTATACGATCACCTTCATACTGTACGATATACGTCTGTCAGCATAGCATCAGCCATTCATTTAAGCCAACGGCTCATATTAAGTCAACTATTGAGGTTCGTATTGTACGAAGTCCTATTCGTACTGTATGAATTACCTGACAATAACCATGGGACCAACTTTAATTTGGTCAGTATGATCCTTAATTAAATTTCGTACTATAAGAACACTTATTCGTACTGGATGATTCATTTAGTCAATGGTCGTACAGTTGGCTCTTCGGGATGAACCGAAAAAAAAAACGAAGATCGTACTGGACAATTTTACCAACTCTTAAGACAAATCGGACAAGACGATTTGGATTCTTCTATTCGTACTGTATGATGTCGATCATACTGTACGATCAGGTTGAATCTTCATATAGATGGGAACATTTTCATTTTAAACGTACCTCTCTATTCCAAACCTTCATTCTCTCAAGTTCTTGTCTTTAGCATTCTCGATGGCTGGAAAGAAAGCCTGACTTCTCCCAGGAAGTTCCTCTCGATCCCAAGTTGGCAACTGATTACAAACGACCAACGATGAAGCTGCATATCACCGATATAGGCCCGCTTAAATCACTTTTTTAAGGATCCTAAACCAAGATATCATTCAATATCAGGTACTAGATCTATTTATTAGCAATACACTCCAATTCATTCTTAACCTTGCATTTTTTTCCACTCTGAAATGCTTTTTGAATTTTTTGCAAGTCTTAGAATCAACTCTGAATGCACTGCTACGCAATCTTACTTTTGTAAATGACCCATATAAATTACATACCAAGATTTTCATGAACTCCTACATATTTCTACCATGGGCGCAAAACCACACGATATCTGCACTATTGGAGATTACGATTGGACCCAGTTAATCTCACTATTAGAAACACTCCCATGAACCATCATTAGCCTTTAGTCCACACCTTAGTCTTGGATGCTTGTATTATCGAGTACGCCCTTAGAACCTCAATACCTTTTAAACTGGCAATAAGGCCAATATTACACCTCTGTTATCCATAATGTTGTGGACATACTTATCTACTACATTGAAAATTTGACCATGATTAGGAATCCAAGGGCACACCGCAGACATAACCTGACACTAGGACACATCATAGCTTATATATTAAATGCAAAATATAACTTGATATATCTTACCCTAGCAGACAACTTCCCTACCTTCTTCATCGATAGCTCCTTCCACATCCTCTATAGCGACAATCATAGGGCAACACCTGTAGAAGAACATGATTCTAATGAGGAAGGTGGAGCACTATCCCTTGAGGTATCAACATATATAGCACCAGCCTTCTAGCCACAACCTCCCGACTCCTTGATTGAGCAATTTGATCACTTAGAACTGCAATTGGAGACACACAACACGATAGGAGCAACTATAGCAGAAGCACGAGATTGATCACACCTAATTTTAGTAGCAATTTTCATCCTTGCAACCCTACTTACAGCTACCGCTACCACCTGATCAAGATCTATTTGATGAGTAGTGGTTGTTATTTATTTTTTCTTTATTGTATTTATATTTTAATTATTTCTTTTACTTGCATTGTAGTTTATTTTTAATTACTCTTTTTAGTTATGTCAAAAGGGGAAGTAGAGAGTAGAGTTGGTTGTACAATTTATTTTTTTACTAATGCTATTTGTTTCCTTTTCAGTATTTGTGTTGTTGCATTTCTTTTTTAAAAAAGCATGTTTAAAATAAATAAAAAATGTTGCGTTAAAAAACATCAAAATTTGAAAATCAAATGTTCTCTATATTTTTAAATAAGTCATTTAGCGAGGTGAAGAACTAAGCAGAGAATTGAATATGAAATTTACAAATTTAAAATTCCAACCAATAATGTTTGTCATCATCCAAAATAAGGAGATTGTTACAATCCGGGAGTCAGACCTTATGTTTTGATGATTACAAACATTATCAGATGAGTATTTTGTTATTCCTGCTTTATATATTGAATATTTTTCTCGTGTATCATTAATCATTTCGAGTACAGCGTACATCGAACAACATTGAAGAATCAAGACTTAAGACAATATAGCGTTAAGCCATTAATGTATAAGCCAGGCTATGTTTGGTAGAGTCTATACTTTTTATTTTTTGTTTGTATTAAGTGTTTGTTGGCTAGACAATCGTGCACACACACACAATGGAGAGTAAAATTAAGTATTTGATTTTTTTTGTAGTCAAATTGTACTATCAAAATCGTGTTGTACGATCGAACTTGTGTTGTATGATCAGAAACATATTGTACGATCTATATAAATAAAAAATTTAATTCAAATGTTTTATTAAATGAGATTAATTAGAATTGGGTTAAATAATCATACTGTTTGACCTTAAATCATATAGGATAATATGTTATTTTGATAAAACTCCATCGTCAAATTTATGTTAACTAAAATAAGAAAATTTGAATTTTGAAATTTGAACTAATCGTATTGTACGGCTAGTTCATACTATACGAACATTAATTTAAATTACCTAATTTAATCCCATAGATTAAGGAATCAAATCAGGATTTAATCATCAGTAATAATCATATTGTATGATATAAATATCATATAGTTCAATTCACCCAAGAGTTCGTTGGACGATCCGTAATTCGATTAAACTAATCATACTGTACTACTGTACAGTACGATTAGTGATTGAATTGAACTAATCGTGCTTAACGACTATGCATCGTACAGGACATTCTTCGACGAAATTGAATTATTCATATTGTGTGATCTGTGAGTCATATTGTGCGATCAAATGTTGAAATTTAAAAATTAGAATTTTTTAAGAGCTCATTTTATAAACTCATCATATGTCTTGAGTGACAGAGTTCTTGAGTAATCAGAGACATTTTCTTTCAAGAGAACTTGGGTGATTGTCCACTTCACAAGGGAGATATATGACATGAGGTTGAGAGAGGGAGTTTCTTTGAGATAGGGCTGCAAACGAACCGAGCCGAGCCGAGTATGTGAGTGTTCATTTAATATCAGCTTTCTCAAGTTTGGTTCATATTTGTTCGAGCTTTATTATTTGTGTTCATGTTTGGTTCATTTAAATTAATGAGTGTTAATGTTCGGTTCATATTCAGTTCATGTTCGTCGTTTAGTGCTTATCGAGCTTGTTCGCGAACATATTTAACGAATTTTTTTAACTATCAAACAAACACGTTCATGAACATATCTATGAACGAACACATTTATAATAAAAGCAATTGTCTATTTATTAATTTATATATATACATACATATATATATATAAGCCTACACGAGCCATATCGCATGATTGGAATTAATGTCAGTTGGCTAACACTGATATGTTATGGGTATCAAGGTTAAGATAGAAAACTCATATGAGTGAACATCTTCAGACTAAGGTTCTATTTGGGACAATTGGAGCATTTTGTAAGGGCGTTGTAAAGCTCTTGTGGGAAAAGTAATTTTTTTAAAAGTTGTGGATGTTATAAATATGTTCTTTAAAAAAAAAAATTCAAACAGTTGTTTTCTTAAAGCTACCATATATTGGCAACTTTGATTAGAAAAAAAACAACTTACGTTAGAATTTTCTGAAAAGATCGAGAAAGTAGGAAGAAAATAGTAATGAAACGGAACTATAGTTGTGATTTGAAAGCAATGCTGAGAAAACTGTCCCAATGCCCTAATTGTAATATTAAAAAAAAAATAAAGACCAATTTGAAGTTCAGCTTTTATATCAACTTTGCATCTAATTTATCCTTTTTTGTTTATATTTTATTTTACTAGTGTTTCTCCTCCCTTTTTTTCATGGAATAAGCAAAATTGGCTTGGGAGGCCAAAAGTTAAGAAAATCTTTCAGTTTTAGTTGAATTTATGGGAGGATTTGGAGTTGCTACTGCTAGACCTACTCAGCTCAAATGATTTATAATGTTCGATTGATGGGCGTACATAAAATGCTTTGTGTTCAATTTTAATTAGTTTTTACTCAAGTTTGAATATCGTGTATATTGTGTTGGTAGGATCATCGGGCAAAAGCTGTGTTCATTTTTTTCTTTCCCTTTTTTCATTACTTTGGGAATTTATATTATATATTGGCGAATGGCGATTGATGATTCACTTTCATCCCCTTTTAAGTCTTATTTTTATATGGAAATAAATTACGGTCTCAAGCATGAATAAACAAACTAATGGAATATTAAAAAATTCTAATTTATGCCTCAATAGAATTTTTTTTTGCTTCGCCAATGATGTTGTTCAAAAAAAAAAAAAAGAATTTAGGTTCTCTGATGAATTTTGATTGATATTTTTCAAACAAATTGCTCTTTATAAGAGGAAGCTATTGTTATTACTGTTATATGTGCATTTTTTCTTGTAAAACTTATTGTTATCAGTGTATTGTTTCTTGTAAAACTTTCTTACGCATTCTTGCTTTTCAATTCGCAGTTCTTGGCAGCTTTATCCCGGCGCTTAATAAATTTGTTGCAGATCGGTACTCATCATATCACACTGTTTCAGACTATTATATCTACGAGTTCTTTAGGGTATTGCCCCATGACCTCAGATTTGTGTTTTTGGCGTTTAACTGTGCAAACTTTTTCTAGTATATTTCTAGTATGGGCTTACCTTTTCCTTATTTAAAGTCATTATTGCTATTTATTTTGTCTCCCTTACTGAACAGATATGGAATTGCACTCGTGCTGAAGGTACCAATTATATCACTTTTATGCACTCATTTTATCTTTCTTTCCACTAAAAAGAAGGGAGGTGAAATACTTAGGAATAATGCTCTAGTTATTTGTTTTTATAATTCCATCTTCCTTTGCTCAATTGTGCTCAACGATTTGGCAGCTGAAATACGGGTCCACGATTTTTTTCAAACCCAGTATTTTACGTCTGGTATTCATCCCATTCCTGGTGCTCATACTGCTCTTTGTAATCTGTCAGCTTTCTGCAACTTATCAGTTGTGACGTAAGCATTTTGACATTATACCGCACTTTGATGTTGAAGGTTTCGTTTGGGATTGCTTTTTGTTGCTTCTTAAAGCAGCTTTTAAGTACAAAACTTAAAAAATTTATACTAGAAGGCTGCTTTAAGAAGCAACAAGAAAGCCGTCCCAAACGAAGCCGAAGTTTGCCACTGCACAACTTTTTGGTACATTCTAATTGAACCTTTTTTCTGCTAATAAGATCTCGGCAAAATGTTATTAAAGATCAGACATGCGATTGGATTGAGCGGCATTTTCCTGGCCTGTTTAAGGAGATCCACTTTGGAAATCATTTTGCGTTGGATGGGAAATCAAGGCCAAAATCTGAGATTTGCAGGTAAATTATACTAGCTTTACCAGCATTTTTCATATGTTGCAGTATCCCCTGCGAATGTTCTATTTCTTTTGTTTTATGCTATATGATAACTGGGTGTTTTGTCTATTTAACTAAGGACAGTGGGAAAGGATGGCCTTTAAGGAAATTTTCAATAATCTTTGTAAAATTCATTAAATTCTTTTGCTGCGCTTCTATTGTGCCTTCCAAATTCTTTGGAATTTTCAGAGGTGCATAAACTAAATATCCATAACTGTTCATCCAAAACAAGTGCAAGAGGTTTTCTGCCAATGCTTATGCATGCAAGTTTATGCTGCATTGCAGGGAACTATTTGTGTGAGACAGCGTTAAATTCACTTTTGGGGACTTAAGCTTCATTTGAGACACTTTTCTTATTGCTTTGTAAAGCTTCAGTAGAGAAAGTACATTTTAAAGTTATTGTAGAAAATAAATTGTTAGTATAAATTTTTTTGGAAGCAGAAAAAAAGCAGTGGTCAAATAAAAATGTGATTGCGGTTTGAAAACTAAAGCAGTTAGAAAGTTATCTCAAACGATGTCTTAATTAAACAAACTAGTGTATATAAACTTAATGTTAGAGCTTGGTGAATTTTTCTGACATAATCAAATGGCCAGGAAGCAATATCACGTAATGTTGAATTGAAAGTTGGTTGGTCGAATGATGTGCTTTTAACTGGGGAGAAGTAATGGAAAGAAATAATCAAATATTTTATAATTATCGCAATTATCGTTGAATCAAGAGTAATTCAACTTTTTCAGCATTTTCTGCAAATAACATCTTAAAAATTTATGCAGTACTTGACCCCAAAAAAAAATCATAATTCCCTTTAAAAGATAACGCAGTATTCGACATTAGATTCTTCTAAATTTTGGGAGAATTATATATATATATATAAGCCTCCCGCTTAAGTACGCACCCGTTTAAGTACGGATCTGGGTTAAGTACGCAAAATTTGAACAAAAACATAGGGTTCATCATTTATAACTTGAACATGTCATAAATGGTCATTTGGCGTAAGTTTTGCAATTTCTTACGTCTTACATTGAGGGTGACCGCTCGAACATTTCTCTGGAATCATTCAAAAGATTTTTTAAGATCATCAAATTCATCTCTAGCTTCCTCTTGTACCTCAGAGTAGAACATTTGATCCTCTTAAGTTAAGATCCTGATTATTGAGAGATTCAAAGCCCTGAGATGCAACAGTATTTGTTGAAGTAGAACTCAATAGTATTTGTTGTATTCAAACGGGGTTGCGAATTGGAGGTCGTGAATGGTGTGCCGTGGGTTGCGAATTGGAGGTCGCAAACAGAGCCTTTGGTGTGAATTGGAGGTTGCAAATTGCGTGAGCTGCGAATTGGATGTCGCAAACTGAAAGGAAACCCTAAGTATGCCTACCGGTTAGGTACGCACGAAAATTTTCGGTTCAAATTGCGTACCTAACCAGGAGGCTACTGTATATAACACTTGAAATTTGGCTATTTATAAGATTAATACTCATGTCATTTTTTTAATTGAATCTATCTATTTGAGCATATCATAATCAAACCAATGGGAATTTAGCAAAAGCAAAACTATACAATTTGGTATTTTGTTATGAATTTAAGGAGTTATAAATGTAATCGCCCATTAATTTTTAAATAATTGCATAAAATATTCTAATCCTTTTATTTATTGCAGATCCATTGGTGCTAAGGTACTGATAGATGATAACCCAAGATATGCTGTGGAATGTGCTGAGGCTGGCATTAGAGTCCTCCTCTTTGATTACCACAACTCCTATCCATGGTGCAAGGATGACTCTGTAGATTCTTACAGCCTAGTCACTAAGGTTCATAATTGGGAAGAGGTGGAGCAGCACCTGATATCTTGGGCAATTGTGTAAGAATATGTTAAAAATCCATTTAACATATTGATTCTTTTTAGCTGGAAACCAAATTTTCCATGGAAACCTCAAATTTTATGTTTATTAGTTTTTCAACCCCCATATTTTGTGCACAGTGAGAACTGCAAAAGATTAGGATTTATGTACTCTTGGGCATGGTAGTAATGGTGGGGATTCTGGTCTTTTTTTATTATCGATTTGTAAATAAACATTAAGAATTTTGCATATGGATTGACTATTTAGCTGGTAAATGATTTCTTGATAATGGAGATTTGATGTAGTAAGTTTATTTCATAAAAAATAAAGTATTTTATTGTCCATTGATGCAATTGCTTGGTTGTTTTAATCTTTGAGAAATCATTACGTGTGGTCACCATAATGTTGGGAGGTCAATCAGGATGTGTTATGTCATTTGATATATAATTGTATCAAAGTAATGATACGCATTAAACGTGTCTTAATTTGCCTTCGGACGGCCTCCCGTAATAATTTTACGAGAACTTTTCAATTTTGGCAAATAATGAAAGAGGGTCAAAGAAAACTTTATACAATTACATTCTAGATTTAAAAGAGTTTATGGATTTGAAAAATTTTAAAGGGTTGCTCTTCGATCGACATTATCTGATATTTATTATTCGACTATTATCATTTCCAATTTCCATAAAATAATGTTGAGTTCTGCCATCACCATCGTAGCCATCACCTAGCCTTCTAAACCATTATCATTTGATTGACTTTTTCAATCATTGAATGACAATAAAATTAGTTGTAAACTTATTTTTAATTATCAATTTAATCTAAATTATTCATATGATTGTTTTTTATTGTGATTTGTAAAATAATTGAATTACTTTTTTCCTTTTATATGCAAAAATAATAAATTAAATATTCAAAGCACTAAAATAAATTTTAAGTAATGAAGTACATTTAAGATATAAAATAATAAATTTATAATTTTAATAACATATTCTAAACAATAGATTGATAATTTTTATTTAAATAATGAATAAAGTATAAGTTGTACCCGACATTATACTTAAAAAATAATGCATCCAAATTTTATATCTCGTGAAATAAATGAATTTCCTAATTGAAAAAATTGTTCATTTTATTTTATTTAAATAATGATTTAGGGTCTGTTTGAGATGGATGCAGTGTTTCATAAGATTAATTGTGAAGTTATTGTAGAGAAAATAATTTGATTATTATGATTGCAAAAATTAATTTTTCAGTATAATTTTTTTTTAAAAAAGTAATAATAAAATAAAAGAAAAATAATATCCAAATAAAATTATGATTATTGTCTAAAAATCAAAGCATTCAGAAAGTGCTTCCAAACATACCATTAGCCATTAGAAAGCAGATATTTAGCTTATTATTGCTATTTTAAAAGCGGCTTTCCGACAAACGGTATGACACCACACAGGGTGGGTTTGGGTCAGCTTTCTTGCCGCTTTGCTTTTTTAAATAATAATCATAATTTCATTTTGCCACTAATTCATGTAGTGGAACAGACCTTCCCCAACAACTTAATTTCTTTCTGTAAGCTGTTCATTAATGTGAGATTATATTATGATGGTATGAAAATTTTGTGAGAATTCCTTTATATAAATTGTATTATAATGGTATTAAAATAATATAATCTGCTTTAAATTAGTAAATTTTTTATTAAAATTTCGAAACATTTTAATCTATTTTACGCACACAGAATATTCTTTTTTTTTTTTTGTTCAGAGGGCTTAAAAATATATTCAAAAGACCTTTTTTAATTTTTTTTTGGAATATTTTAGCGAATTAAATAAAAGCTCATATATATATTATTTAGGGGAACTTCCAGCTCAATACCTAAAGGTGGGCTATATGTTTCAAATGATTTAAAGGCTTCTTTCGTGTTGTCCTGATTTACTTATTATTTATTGAATGGCAAATGTGGAAACACGCAACGTGATATCTATGCTGGTGTTTGGGACGCCCATGTGACTTTTACGCGCTTTTAATTTTGAGAAGGAGCATAGTTTAAAATTGTATTAGGAATAGGAGCATGATATTAAGTTAATTTGAAAAGGAGCAGAAACGCACTCATCCTTTGCGTTTTGCGTTTTCAGAAGAAAACGCAAAGCAGGATTGCGTTTTCTGAAGAAAACGCAAAGCTACTTTGCATTTTCTTTGAAAATGCGATAGTAGGTGGCGTTTTCTTCATCCAAATCAAATCTAGGGGCATTTTAACATTATTTGAACTTAATTTCATGCTCCTAAACCTAATACAATTAAATGCGATCCTGCTTTGCGTTTTCTTCAGAAAATGCAAAGTAGGATTGCGTTTCTGCTCCTTTTTAAATTAAATTAATTTCATGCTCCTAAACCTAATACAATTATTAACTTTGCTCCTTTTAAAAATTTGCCCTTTTATCAACGGCTCTTTATAACGGCCAAAAATCATATTTTTGGTTTAAAAAAAGAAAAAAAATATAAGTGTAGGAATTTTTCTAATTTTTTTACTTTAGAGCAAATCAAATTCACACAAATATTAAATATATAAGTTTCAAAATTGAAATTTTTTAATTGATAGTTAAAACTCTCAATCAATAAATTAAGATGAGTTACATTAAGATCTTATTTGAGACGATTTTTTTATTGCTTCTTAAAATAAATTTTCAGTACAAATTTTAATTTTTATACTAAAGAATTGTTTTAAGAAGCAGTAAGAAAGTCGTTCAAAAAAAAAAAATGTAAGGATAGGAATTCGCATCATATAGATAAATGAAAGATGCAAGAAAGTCAAATTTATTTTTATTTTCTAAGAATCTTGCTCCTAAGAAAAAAGATGAAATTTCTAAGGATTTTATTAGTTGTTTTCTACTCGCTCATACTCAAAATAAAAAATCTTCTATAATAAAAAAGAGCTTAAGAAGACGAAATTGAGACGTTTGAGGGACATTTGATGAAATCTAATATTTATGCTAGATTTCATCCCACTATATGGAGTCGGTTATATAAATCTTTTTTCTGTATTGTGTACTAAAAATTAAAAGTAAAAGTTCAAACTTTTTTTTTTTTGAATTTTGATATTCTTTTCCAAAAAAAAGTTTTATATTCATGTGAAATTTTACGTAATAAAAATTGAAGCATATATAGTTTTTTTACTTTTTTTACCACAAAATTGGCCTTCGTAAGCTAGCCATCCATCTGCCACCTTCAAAGCGAAGGGAAATTATTAGGCATAAAATTGGGCACTGCCAAATATTGAGTCCATCATCACAGAGAGGGCAAGAACAGAGCAACTCACTGAGAAACCAATCATGGAAACCCTCCACTCCTTTAAGGGCTACGGCAAGATGGATCCCGCCGACGACCACGCATTCCGGCATAAGACCAGGCGCCGCATAATCCTCATCGGCGTCTCCACTTTTCTCCTCCTCGTCATCATCACCACCGTCGCTACCGTTCTCGTCATCAACAAACGAAATAACACAGACGAGCCCTCTTCCAACCAATCTCCCATCTCCACCTCTTCTTCCATCAAAGCCATCTGCAGCGTCACTCTCTATCCCGATTCCTGCTACGCCTCCCTCTCCGCCGCTTTCGTCAACTCCTCCGCCATCGACACCGACCCGGCGACCCTCTTCAACCTTTCCCTCTCCGTCGCCTCCCGCGCCCTCTCCAATATCTCCTTGTTCCTCTCCAAACTCGACATTCCGGCCGCGGACAAGCGGCTCCGAGCTGCCGTTCTCGACTGCAGAGAGCTTATCGACGACGCCGTCGATCGATTTAATGAATCTGCCGCCGTTCTCGCGGGAACGAAACCAGGCGAGAAGATTTTGTCCGAGAGCAAGATTGGGGATCTGAAGACATGGCTCAGTTCAACGATCGCTGATCAGGAAACTTGCCTCGACGGCTTCGAGGGGACGACTGGAGGTTTCAGGGAGAAGCTGAAGGCGGCGATGGCTAACTCGACGCAGCTCGCGAGCAACAGCCTGGCTATCGTTTCCAGTATTATAGCAAAGCTACATTTTCCGATTAATCGTAAACTACTGTCCATCGACGGAGCCGGCCGAAAGTTTCTGCCGGAATGGGCGACGGAGGGGCAGAGGAGGATTCTGGCCGCCGTCAATACTTCGGCGAACGTGACGGTTGCGCAGGATGGAACGGGGAGTGTGAAGACCGTTCAGGCGGCGGTGGATCTGGTGCCGAAGGGGAATTTGAGCCCCTTTGTGATCTACATTAAAGCAGGAGAGTACAATGAAGCGGTGGTCATTGATAAGAACAAGTGGAACATAGTGATCGTCGGCGACGGCATGGACAAGACGATCATTACCAGCAACAAGAACTTCATCGACGGAACGCCAACCTTCTCGACGGCAACCTTCGGTGAGTTCGATTAATCTTACCATTCTTTTCTTTTTAATTTTAATTGTTTTTAATAATTATGTTTAAATTATTTAATATTTAATTAACTGATTAAGAATATAAATAAATACTATAAAAATGAACGGTGACATAATATATTTTTTTTATCAAAATATTATATTTATCTTAAAATAAATTTAAAAACTTTTAAATTATATTGACCTAATTTTTTTATCGGTTGAAATAATAATTGAGGCAACGTGGGCAATTATGGGCCCCACGACACATGGCCTTGATTCATAATGAATATTAATTTACAAAATTTACAATTGAGGCATTTATATATATATATATGATAGTTTTTTAAATATTTAATAAAATATGAATTAAACGATTTAGTGTATATTTAATTTTGTATTATCACAAAATAGTTAAATTTAAAGGTGATACTTAATATTCTATGGTGTTATATGTTAATTGTTAAATATTTTATTAATAAAAAATAATTATATTAAACAACTAAATTATAAAATACAAAATTAATAGATCCAAGCTTAAACTAATAAAAATAGTATATTATTAAATTATATAACACAAAAACATACATACTTTTTTAATAAATATATATTAGTATAAATTGATTTAATAAAAATTCTTTCGATTTCTAAAGAATTAAAATAATTTATTTTTATGGATTCGATTCTTCTTAAATTTTATATTTATTAAGCTCTTTTGATTAAATTAAAAGAGTAATATGCTCCTTTTAAAAATTCTACCGAACATATTTAAAAATTATTAATTTATTTGAAAGTTTATGCCACAGAGCCGCTTTGATCGAAACTTGGAAGAAACAAGCTATCTTTTGGATATTAGATTTTCTTTTTTGAGCTATCTTTCTCGGCCATTTGGCCGACCGTTAGTAATATCTGTTCGGTGAGTCAATAGAAATTTAATTTAGCAGCTCATCTTGATTTCTTGGTTGAGATTTTTTATTTATTTACTAAAAAGTCAATAGAATTTTAATTATTGTAGCTCATCCTGATCCATTGGCTTTTATGTTTGACCCCATCTCAGCTGTCACCGGACGAAACTTCATCGCAAAGGACATCGGATTCAAAAACACCGCCGGCGCCGAGAAGCACCAAGCCGTCGCCCTCCGCTCCGGCTCCGACCGGTCCATCTTCTACCGCTGCTCCTTCGACGCTTTCCAGGACACTCTCTACGCCCACTCCAACCGCCAGTTCTACCGCGACTGCCAAGTCACCGGTACCGTCGACTTCATCTTCGGCGACGCCGTCGTCGTATTCCAGAACTGTAAGATCCTTCCGCGCCAACCCCTTGCCAACCAAGCCAACACCATCACCGCACAAGGGAAGAAGGACCCCAACGAGAACACTGGCATTTCCATCCAGGGATGCACAATCGGGCCATACGATGCCGTGACCCGCCCAACGTTTCTTGGCCGCCCGTGGAAGAATTACTCCACGACGGTTATCATGAAGTCGGAGATCGGGTCGGTGGTCGACCCGGCGGGATGGCTGGCATGGTTGCCGGGGGTGGTGCCGCCCGACACTATTAATTATGCTGAGTACGAGAACACGGGTCCGGGCGCCGGCGTTGCGGGCCGGGTCAGGTGGGTTGGGTACAGGCCTGCGATTGGGGTGGATGAGGCGAGTAAGTACAGCGTGGCTTCGTTTTTGGATGGGGAAGAGTGGATACCAGAGGCGGGTGTAGAGTATGAGCCGAATTTGTGAGCCGAATTTGGGAGCGGTTTTTTTATTTATAAATTTGATTGCGATTATTATTAATTATTATTGTTTACAAAATGTTATTATTTTAGTCCCTTACCATTGCCTTTCGAAAATTATTTTCCATTATTAAACAGAGCACTATCACAATTTTTAGTATAATTTTTTAAAATACTAAAAAAAATATTAGTTAAAAGCTATCACAAATGAAGTCTTAGGCATTTTCTATTTTCTATTTTTGCTTTTGAAAGTTTTTTCTCAGCCACATATTCAAAATTTTTTTACTATTTTTCTTATCATGAAAATAGTCAAAAAATAGGAGTGTAAAACAAATTTTTAAATGAAAAATTTTCACCATAAAACCTAATGTAAGTCTAAATTAGTTCTTGATAGCCCTAATTTAAGAGAGAGAAGCGGTCCAATAAATCTTATCGCTTAGGTTTCGTTTAGGGTTTAGTTTTTTTATTATTTTATAAAACGGTTTTCTTGTAAAAAAAAAAAATTAGTTCAAGAAAATTTTGTATTAAAAAGCTACTTTAGAAAGCAACAAAAATTTCTCCCAAACGAAGCCTTGGGATGGTTTTCTTACTGTTTCTTAAAGTAATTTTTTAGTACAAAAATTTTTAGTGTAATTTTAATCAATGTACTAAAAAACTGCTTTAAGAAATCAAAAGAAAATCATTCCAAACGGAGCCTTAAAGTAAAGACCACTATGATCAAATTCTTGAGAGACAAATTAAAAAAAAAATAATTCTATAAATGATCCAAAAAAAAAAGCTCGCAATTAAGAGGCCAGGTCTCTTTTACCTTCATAATCTTGATAATCAAGTCACAATCTAAAAAAATAATAATAATGAAGTTATATCGATCAAGAAAATCAATAATTTTTGGGCAATTAGATGGTCCACTTCTAAGTATTCAACTCCTAATCTCTCTTTAGGAACCAAACAAAAGTAATTTGAAAACATAGATCTCAATTCCTTTGATTTAGCTGATTGTGCTCCTTTTGATGAGTACAATCATATGTCATTTTTAGTCAAATTTGATCCTAATTGAGCTAACTTGTGCTAGTCTTATTATTAGAACCCCTAATCTTAACACGGACGGATTAGTTTATAAACTTACAAGTCATATAAACACCATATTTGATTATATTAAACATCATAAGCCCCTTTTTCATTCATATAAAATGCATGTAGTCCTTTTTTTTGCAGTTAGGGATTCGAGCACGAATCCATGATTCTGTCAACCAATGAGCCACAGCTCCAACCGCCATGTACACCCCTATCAGATTATATAAGGAGCAAAGCAATTAATAATATAAGGCCGGCCCATATAATTAATTAATATGGCTATCACCTTGATTTATTGTTGTATATAATTAAAAATATGTAAGAATTGTCAAATACAACATATCAAATATGAAAAGCATAAACAAATGAAATTTTCATTTAAAAAATGCTACCCCATTTATGATTTAGTGAATGAAACGGAGGAGATTTGGCTTATTCTTTTTAATTAGGCTTCGTTTGGGACAGTTTTGTATCACTATTTTTTTATAATTTTCAATAAATTTTTATACTAAAAAATACTAATAAAACTATACCAAACCAAGCTTTAATCCTCAATCGCGAATATCGATATTGATATAAGGAAATGTTATACACGTGTTGAGTTGCTATTCTTTGATACATACATGGCTATATCATTACAAGAATCTGTTATGACTTTCAGTTAAAATAGTCTACTATATAAATAAAAGTGCATGAACTCGTTGATCCCCTTAATTGAAGAAGATGTGATTATACAGTATAGCCACCATCTTGACTCGTCTGGCTGTAATAATGAATATTGGAGAAATATTGAATGTTGATGATGAAAATCAAGAGCTGGCAATCAGAGAATAGCTATCAAAATACAATAGTTGGGTAACCATTATGATTAAGATGAATATAAAGATTAAAAATGTATAAAATATTTCTGAAAATAAATTTCCAACTGCAAAATCTCAGCACAGCAAAGTAAATGAAGAAATGGCCGACATGATCTAATTGGCAGGAAGATGTAAGTCATAACGAGCACCAATTTTTTGATAATTTATAGACAAGTTCGAGTTGGTGGTAGCCAACGTTCATTTCCCACCACAATCCTGTTACTGATAATTAATGCTGATCCAACGGATGAGGAGAGGCCACGTATGAAGTAAGGACACAATTTCTCAACCATTGGCTTATTAATATAACTTTTCTTGCGTAAAATCATCACATTAGTACTGATGGCATTGATTGTTGGGAGGAGATGATATTGCTTTATCAGATATCAATCAGAAAAGACTATTCATTGGCCTCATTTGTGGATGAATTATCACGTGCGGAGATCGGATACAGAGAATCGTCTAATTTAGTTTTGTGAATAGTAAAAGCGCAACAAATTACGTTTTTTACTATTTACAGAGACAAAACTGAATGGTTCTCTGTGTTCAGTCTCCACATGTAATAATCTCTTTCATTTGTGAGGTATAACAGTATGAAGTCAGTGCATTTTAATTCTCAAAACTATTTTGCACAAGAAAAAATAATCAAGATTTGGGTCATGACTAGACAATTGAACTATCAAATCTTCCGAAGTTTGATTGAGTCATCCACGTTTCAAATGATCAGATACTGTGTTTGATATCATGTTCCTAAAATATAAGTATCTAACTCACAAAATCATATCAAAATTTTGCTTTCATTCAATCTCATCGCCTTCCCTTCCCAACTTTCTCGAGGTCTATTGTAGTGGTTGTTGATGCCCTCACCCTTATGGAAACCATCGTAGACATCCTTTCAAACTTCTCGAGTTCACCTTTCATAGTGGTTGCGAATGTCATTATCATTCTAACAACCACTAGAAAAAATGAACAAAATAGTCCATTGATTTTTTATGAAAGATCAAAATAGTTCGTTGACTCTTTATGAAAGATCAAAATAGTCTCCAACTATATTAAAGCTGGAGCATTTTGATCCCTCAACTACTTGAAGTAAAACTAAAGTAGTCCCATCATAAGACTATTTTGGTTCATTTTTAAAGAGATGAATGACCAAAATAATTCTTTAATATAGATGTTGGTGACTATTTTGATCCTTCATAAAGAGTCAAGAGATCATTTTGTTCCTTTTCTTCATTATATATTCTCATATTAGTCCAAAAAACCATCACCTTTTCCCCAATCCTTAAATTTGGATTAAATCTTTGAACATTTTTTCCTTCTTCTAGTTCACTTTCTATTTTGATTTTTTAGGTGACTTGGCTACAAGCATGAAGCTACAAGGTGCAATAGATACACACACCATAACATTATGCCCACATGTGAGTGATATCACTATAAAAAATAATAGTTATTAGGGTGTCACAATCTCTTCCTAATTCCACTACAGCCTATCTCCTTCCTCAGCTTGCTCCCCTAGCTGCTTTATCATCCTCCTCTATTTGCTACTTACATACAAGACAACTCTGCGACCACCCTAATGAATTATCATAAAAAATGAATCAACCATACTGATTATCCCTCTTACCTTAAAAAAAAAAAAACTTAACGAGTTGATTTACCAGTATAACAATCTTCTTTTCTCTCTCAACTTCAGCATCTTAAGAGCATCACTTACAGTAGAGATGTCAAAATCGGATTACGGGTCGGGTTCGGGTTAAATCCAACACTGACCTTCTACTATTTGACATGACCTGAACCCGACCCGTTATTGCAGACATGTCAGAAATTTCAAACCGGACTTGACCAGACACAAACTCTGACTTCGATACTAAGCATCTGTTTGTGGGAGTCTCGACGAGGTGCGAATGCAAAACTTCATTGGAAAGGATGAAGCAGCGGTCTTCTTCCCGCCAGACATATTGAAATGGAGCTTCTCCTACGGCAGAGCGAAGAACTCGTGAGCTAGGCGGGTCATGTCAGCCATGCATGAGCTCGGCGTCCACATCCTGGTCGACGACCTGAAAGATGCCCCAATTCTCACACGCCGCCACAATTTGACAATGAATCTCCGAAAAAATTAGGTCAGATTTGAGCGAATTTTCAGGCCATGTCAATCTTTAACACCCCCTTAACATACAATAAGAAGCCACAATTACAGCTGCACTTCTGTTATCAATAAATCTTCCACTAATATCTTTCATACTGTTTGAAGTGAAACAAACACTAGCAAGTTAACTTCTTGACTAGATTTCTTTGCCCAAACAGTATATACTTGCTCAGATTGATAGACCTCGGTGATGTCATTTCCAATAAAAAAATTCTCCACGCTTTCCTCAAATACTATAGTCACAGAATAGCGTAGTGGTTTACTAGGATGTGGACATTCTTGACTTACGAGGTTTCTTTATGGCTCGAATTGTGAGAAAGCTCGTTCTCAAAAGCTGTGCAAGAAGAAAATAAAGTCGAAAACTAAGGAAGTGATTTCAAAGATAAAGTTGTAAGATCACATGCGTTAGTTCTTTCAGCTTAGCTTAAAGAAGGCCGAAAATTAGCTTAGCTACCTGCTTTAATTTCTTCCTTTGTCATCATTAGTCTTTATATTTTGATTGGAGTTGAGAAGAATGAAAAGAAAGATCATGGTGTAGAGGACAAACAAATGTGATGCAACTATATTTATTTTTTTTCTTTCTATTTGGCTGTGGTTCAGGAGAGAATAAAATAATACTAATCTCCTTTTCTATTTTTTTATTAAAAATTTATTTTAAGAAGTGATAAAAAAATCTTTTCAAATGAAGATAAATTTATAGTGAATTGTTTACACAAAGGTGGCTTAAGTTATCTTATCTTGTGTAATGAGAGTGGAGGAAATATTTTCACAAGATAAATAAATATACAGTTAGAGATGATTGCATGTTATTTAAGTAAAATGGCTTCAGTTGTTTGGATTGTAGAAACCCCCTAGCTGTGGAGTCAAACATAAATTTGTGAAGAACTCATCTTGAAGTAATTTAGATGGATTAAATCCATGCCTGTTTGACCTGATTTATTTAGACCAATGACTAGATAAGCTTAC